AGATGCGGATGCATATTCCATCAACAGTGGTCACCTGCCAGTTTCCCTAATTGGTGGATAACGGGCTAGCCAAATCCAGCTTTCCCTCCTTCCACCCCCTCTGAGGCCAGCGCGCGCAGCGAATAAAACTGCATGGTACTGCGCTCAACCAGAGGGTGCCTCTATTAGGCCCCCGTAGTTTAGCAACTTTTGTGAGAGCAACCCTGCAGCACCATATATCGTGTGATTATGTGAGTCTGAATGACCTGTTACAAGACCATGATGGACCACCCTATTTGCATTGCCGAGCAGTATGCAGCAGCCAGAAATTGCTTGAAAAGCAGCAACAATCTGAAACTCACCATCTCTGCTGGTTGAAATCACCTACGCCACCGATCAGCACGCCGTTCGAAACGGAAATTGTGCTAGCTGTGTGGCGTCGATACGCCACTATCAGGAGATCGAAATCAGCGCCTCATACGAAAGTGCTCGACGAGTTCAGCCAGGGCGGAAACACGAACGCCACAATAAATCCAGATGAAGAGAGAAAGGAATGCAAAGGTATTCAACTACCGGTTGCCTAGGTTGTTGGGTTAGGTTTCCCGATGTACGGCTGGTAGTTTTCACGATGATCACCACGGTGAACCTCCCAGGCAGACCTAAAGTGAGCATAGAGCATTCTGAGTACCTATGGCCTTGTTCGCTGCGAATAATCTGGCGTGTCACGGTAGAAATTGAGTTTAGCATGATGCCAGCCCGTTCTCCACCAACTGTTGAAGCGGGCAGGCGATCAAATTGGAAAAAACGGGCTAGCGCCCTCCAGATTCAGCCCACCTGACTCGCCCCTCCGCGGCGAACAGGGCTGCACCTTAGCCTGTAAACTTACCCGTAGGGAGACCTTGCAATGAGTGTGCTTGTTTGCTTGAAAAGTGCACCTAGGCGCTACTCCAAGACCACGAATCATTTTGGTGCAGACCACCCAACCAAAAACCTCTAACACTACTTTTTGCCCAAGAGATGACTTACCCGAGGCTCAGGGCGCACTGAAATGCGCCTATGGATGTCGTATTTGGTTCGTCTGGTAGGAAGGGTCGTTTTTGACCTGCCAAAGATGCTTTTGATAGTTGATTTCCACCGTTACACAGGACCTGTATCCCGCCGCACGACAGGGCTTTGCTGAGCCATGGCGGCCATAATCATGTCGAAGGAAGTACGCGGTAGGCCGACTACTCTCCGTCTCAGTGCTAACTGCCCCATCTTACTAAAATTAAGCCCCTTCCCCGACTGCATGGAGAGCCGAAAAAATATGAAATTTGAAACGAAGGCAGTAGTGGTTGCCTTGGGCGACCTTGGCACCACAGCTTTTGCTGACGATCCGGAGCATTCCATAGGCTTCAAGAGGCGGTCCTCCACCTACTCTGCTGGGGCTCCCGTTAAGTTCTAGCAGCTGATTGGATACATGGGCACTACTGGCGCCACCTTCCCCTTCTGATCATATAATCCTTTGGTTTTTGGTTCATGTTTGTTGTCTAGAATACCCATAGAAGCGTCCTTTCTCAGTGAATACACATATTGAAATCTAGTTACTAAATGACCACAAACTTTACAACCCTTCCTACGAGTGACAGTGGTACGCAATTTCCGTCGCAAAACGCGCTATTGCACAACTCTTAAGTTCATCAATAGTTCAATTCCAAATTTTTCCTCTGGCTGAGTGAAGCTCAGTAAACTTTGCCTTTCAAAAGTTTTCATTTTAAACAGCCGGACTCTTCATGAGCGTTTAGTGTTCTTATCTATGGCCCCACAATTCCGCTTGTGACATTAAGAGTGTATTGGGCATACTTTCTTTACATTTCACCTTTTCAATGAACAAATGGAGATTACAGCCTTGCTATGTTCTCGAAGTTATGATAAACTATAGTCGAGATGTTTAAGGTTCTTAAATCACTGTAGTCTCAACTGGATAACGTCGTGATGTCATTGCTCAGTTTGTCGACTCGTCAGCCGGATCTCCTGGCCCAGCCAAGCACGGGAGAAGAAAATTTCAACCAAACTTCTAATGTTACTAGACTTAACTTGGAAGCACCTAAAAATGTTAGTCGTGGAGTCTTTTTTGAAGTTTGCTGTTTCATTCCAACAGTACAAGGGCATGTATGAAGTTGCTTTCAGACAGCAACTGCCGTCCCGCACGAGTTAGCCAGCGAGGAATCGCGGACTCGAAATCGAGTCGTTGATTACATAAATGCACAGAGGATGCTTGGTGGTACTGCACATGCTGAGCAACTGCTGCTGTGAGTTCTCGTACATTTCTGTTCATATACAATTGTTAGGAGCTCGTTAGTCAAATGGCACGCACATGTAAGCCTTTTGTGGAAATATTACGATAAGTACATAGTCTTGTCTGTTCCATCGATTTCCTGTGCAGTGACCTTTGACCGGCCAGGAGTGTGCTCTTCACGAGATGTGAAAGCTGTAAACCGCGACATCTTCGCTACGAGCCCAAGATACGTCGCCCATATAAGGCAGCGTTCAGACTTCGCGACGGCAGCGATTGGATTGCGCGTTCGACGCGATCGATGCAGTAGAAAGCATGCGCATCGATCGCGCCGAACGCGCGACCGAAGCGCTGCCGTTGCGAAGTCTGAACCTGCATAAGGTGCCTCACTTAACTGGACAGGATTTGGACGTCTTGCATTTGTGTAAACAAATGTAGAGTGTTGATTACATCATTCTGTGTTTCCAGTTTCATCGAGCTTTTCCTCTCGCTCGCATTCTTGTTCTCTCACCCTTTGTCCCTGGTATCTCGCACGCGCAACAGTGTCTCGATTCTTCAGGTTCTCGTCAATACTGTTTCCTTAAGTAAAATGCTTCTGACCGATTAATTTTTTTTCTTCGTTGATTTTTCAACTAGTATCTGCGAATCTGTTTTGGATCTCGCAACCCACGTCGTAATCGCGGTATGTATATTCGAAACGGGTTTTGTAACGTAAATGAGACCTGTACTTTTTTTAGATCCACTTCATGAGGCAAAATACTATATTGAAGTTTTGCGCAAAAGTTTTCGTATCAGAGTTCGGGCACGTCATACATCGGGAATTCCTTAATGGGTGGTCGTACTCGGTCAAGGACGGAGGGTGTTATGCTCGAGTGGCAGAAACTTTTCTGGTTGTCCGTTTTATCCGTTTCTATACTAAGTGCGCTGTACTACCTCACGTGGCAGTAGGTCAAATGTGCCCGCCCCCAGTTGGGGCCATTTCAGGTAAATCTGGTAAAACCGTGCGTAGGATGTGGAAGGGGATAGTGCTCGTAAGGGAAATTTAGGCAGGAACTCTGCTTCGGAAAGTTCTCTCCAGCAGCAGAATGTGCTCAGATCAGGGTTCTTGGGGAGTCAAAGCTCTCATGTTTTTCTTGCTTTTGCATTGAGTAATTAAGTGGATAAAAGGAAAATTTGAGCCCACACGTTGGGAGCGATAGCAAAAAGGCAAAATGCTAAAGATTGCCTTGCTTCAGAGTGTTATTGCTATCAACGGCATTAGAATAGATGGGAAAGATACTGGTTCACGCACCAGATCCATTCATTGGTCTTCTCAACGAGATTGCATTTTTCTCTAGCTATTTTGAATTCTTCTTATCTATGGATCCTCTTTTCAGTCGACGCTATACTGACGGCTTGACAAATAA